TTATCTACTATACGCTGCCTTAGTAATTTACAAAAGAAAGAAATATTTACGTTACAAGGTGAAATCCACACATGGTAAAAGCCATTCTCTGACAATATAGACTTAACTGTACGATACCAATTGTTCGTGTGATTACAATTCTTTTAATATACAATTAGTAGAAGACATAATATTAGACCAATATTTAACTATGCTTACTTGACGTTGGATATTCAATGGAAATATCCCCAACTCCCCATATACCTGCAAATTACTAGTACTGTCCTTTACACCCAGAATCAATTTACATATTTTACGATGTACTCCCACAATACAATCAGCATGTTTCCACCCCCATACTTCACAACCATAATGTTATACTGGTAACACACGTGTCAAATAGTTCTGGAGAAGATTTCATATCTAATTAATTTCTTGTATCTCACTTATTCAATCAGTATATGTCTTTAATCCCTTTTTTCTGATTTAACACTTTGATAGCTGTAGTATGATTACCATTTGACAGAAAGACAAATCCCAAATAATTAAACTGTTTCACTATTTCTAGTGACACTGATTTATATAAAAACTGTATGTCTTATGGCTGATATGATTTTCTGAAAATTACAACTTTAGTTTGGTCAGTATTGACAGTCAGCCCTCATTTGTTACAGTAATGAGCAAGTTTGTCTAGTTGTGACTGCAGACCAGCAGCAGTTTCACTCATTAGGACAATGTCATCAGCAAGAGTAATAAAAAAACATAAGATCACTTATGGCTATGTCAGATTGTAAATTTTCTTGCAAACATTTAAATCTTCAATAAAGAGTGAGGTGAGGTGAAATGGGGTTTAACGTCGCGTCCAAGATTATTGCGCTTATATAGCGATGTTTTTAATAAAGAGGGAAAATAAGTTGCGACATGATTTCACCCTGCCTAAGTCCAGAACTATACAAGAAAGAAGTGAGCAAAGCTCACATACCCCGTTATCCCCGCTGGTCAACAACAAATAATAAATAGTTTGTTAATTAATGAAATATGCATGTTGCTTTAAGTCAGAGGAACTGCCCTTTCCTTTGTAACCCCATGAGCTATACAAAACCAGTCATCAAAATTTCTAAATTCCATCATGTTTCCATGAAAACAGCAAAAGAGAAAACTTTCAGAATCTTATAAAAGATAAAAAAAACAATCATAGTGGTTAATGTAGCAAGTTTGCTGAAGCTAGGATACATAATATTGTAAACATGGATCGTACAAAAACTCTACCCAAAATTTATGTTTCACCATGATTCCATGGAAACGGCAAACATAAAAAAATCAGAATCTTCAAACTAGCAAAAGGCACAAGTACTCATTAGGGTAAATGTGTGTAGCAAGCTTGTTGAAGCTAGGATGCATAGTTAAAAAGATATGGGCCGTACAAAACATCCACCCTAAAAATTTATGTTTCTTAATGTGTCCATGGAAACGGCAAAAATTAAAAAAATCACAATCTTTAAACTAGCAAAAGGCACAAGTACTCATTGTGGTAAATGGGTGTAGCACATTTGGGGAAGCTAGGGTTCATGGTTACATATGGGCCGTACAAAACACCCACCCTAAAAGTTTAAGTTTCTAATGTTTCCATGGAAACGGCAAAAATTAAAATAATTAAGAATCTTCAAACTAGCAAAAGGCACAAGTACTCATTGTGGTTAATGTGTGTAGAAAATTTGGTGAAGCTAGGGTGCATGGTTAAAAGGTTATGGGCCGTACAAAAGCTCGGACGGAAGGACGGACAGACGGAACGCTATATACCCCCGATTTACTTCGTAAATGGGGGTATAATAACTAAATATTTCGCTATGCATATTTTGATACTTAATACATGACTTAACATCTATACATTTATAAACGTACCACCGATTCCCAGCTTACTAAGTTTAAGTCACTTTAAATACTATCAAATGCTTATAAAATCTATGAATGCCCAAAATAATTTACCTTTATCTTTAAATAAGTGTTCTATTCAAATATTCAAAATAAAAATTGCACCTATGGTTCCACATCCTTATTTAAATCCATATTGAGCATCAGATATTAAATTAAACAAATATGAAATATCATCGATAAGCTACAATTTAAAACTTTTGTGAAGTGTTTTCCAAAACTGCTCAGAAGAGGGATCCCCCTATAGTTATTAGGGTCTTCTCGGGAATTCTTTTTGTGTAGAGGTACAATAGCACCAACTGACCATATTGATGGAAAACACCCCGTATCCTATAAACAATTAAACAATTTGACAATATCTTTACCCATAACCTCAATCAAAACATCTGCATAGTCAATCAAAATTTTATCCATACCAGGTGGTTTATTCTTTTTCATAATGCTTAATAGCTACATTTATTTCTTCTATTGTTATTGGAGAATTAATAGTATCATAACACTCAGTTGAGACATTTTCTAATAATTCTTCCGCCACAGTCTAATTTCTAAAGTTCATATCCGAATGTATGGCCTTGAAGTGTTCAATCTGATATATCTTTCTTGTACATCCAATAAGATATAAATAAGAACATTTTTTCCACAAGGTTTTACACCCACACACTAACACATACACACTAACACTAACACTAACACACACACACTAACACTAACACTAACACTAACACACACATAGTGACTGAGAAACGCTGCAACGGGCCTGGTGCCCATTCCATGTGCTGTTTTGTATCATTTATAATATCACATCATCTGTGAATGGTTACAGCCTCGGCGATTATACTTTTACATAATTATATGTTCACAGACAGATTGTTTAATTACATATTGCTGCACTTACCTTGTCGTTTTGTTCAACGTCCTCTTCAGAATGAAAACATCCGACAGGGCAGGAAATCACGCGGAAAAATGTTCTTGTGAAAAGTCTTCATAATGCACACGACGTACCAAAGTTTTAAAAGCAGCGTCTACCGTAGTGCGCGTGAAAAATATAAACATGAGAAAAATAGGTCTAAGCCCATTGTAATCTCCATTTTAAATGAAGTCTAAACAGCCTGTTGAAATTAATTTAACATGCACCGGTGCATTTGATAAAGGAAGCGTCGTCTGCTTCGATTCATTGAGTCTGGATTACGCGCATGAAAAACTCGTGCAGCGGAAGTGTTTCCCGATTGGCTAAACTCGAAAGTAAACATCACGTGACTTTTCCGGTGAACACCTGCGTGAAATATACAACACTTCTGACCTGTTTGACATTTGTTTATGTTAATATTCTTAACCGACAAAGCCATTGGCGGTGGGGTTTGTCTAGCGAGGTTAAAGCGTTGACTCGTCACACCAATTTACCATATGGATACACCATGTAGAGCCGATTTTGACGCCCCTCTCCGTAATATGGCTTGTATTTTGTTTGTTCCAAATTTCGCACATGATTTTTAAGTATATATTAATCATAATAGAATGGAGATATAATACAGTGGATAGTCGAGCATGAGTTGCGAAGCGCCTTAACATTTTAATGCATTTTAATCATTATGATGATTATGATAAAAAAATTGTTTAAGATTTATGAACAATATATATAAAGTACCACACGAGTGAAAAAGATATCAACTGAGGTTATACCGAGGTTGTTTTTAATCTAATGGAAAATTAAAACAACTGTTGTTAAATTTGATTATATCTATTTAACCATCATCATTCATTTCTCAACAGTTTGTGAAAAGTAATCTGTGGCTAGGTTATTTTGTGTCAAAATATATTGGTTCAATGCAGACCGGGGTAGGAAATGAATTTGCAACCACATGACCCCCAACATGTTTAAAATGTTGTTAATTTATGCCGAAAATTGCAAATGTATTGATTTTCAAGATAAGATATCTGAGATACCCATCATCAGTTGTGTATTATGAGAATTTTTTTTTTTTAATTTTTAAAAGTTCAAAATCAAATCATATTTTAAAAATAAAACCAGATAGAGATAAAAAAAAAATTAAGCTGGCAAAGCGCCAGTAAAATACTTTTGGGTATGATATCGCTACCTTTTTAATTGAAAATCAAAGATATGATAAAATCCACTTAGGTGTATCGTTTCCTTTGCCCCTCAGTATATGTTTGGAATGCAACACAGCGATGCAGCTACTACGTGGCGCAAAAAGCAAGCGCTTACACTTTAAAAACGTTTCAAAAATATATTAGATGAACAAATGCTCAAAAGTGTGTTTTTGCAGTCGTTGTTTTTTTTATAGTTTCATGGTCTTTGGTCAAGTTACTGGACAGCCCGGCTACAAATTTGGAAATTGTCGTTTATGAGTTTACTCCATATCCTTGTGTTTGCTCGCAGCATTAGTTTTTCGGATATGTGTGTTTGATCACAATGATCAAACAATGTCTTTATCAAAGAAATTATTAATTTTATCAGAAAATGCTTGAAAAGAATAAGTATGCTTCAGACTTTTGGGTAAAAACGATATTGTCTGCCAAACGATTAAGCGACCAAATTGCTGGGTTCATCGCTACACCCCACTTCAGTTTCAAGAATCCAGTGGTTCAGAGGATATTGGGGGATGGGGGTGGGGATGGGGAGTGGCATTGTGGTGGTTAAAGCGTTTGCTCGTCACGCGGAAGGCGCGGGTTCGAGGGTACAACGCGTGAAGATCCGGTTTAGAATGGGTCTTCAGCAACCCATGGTTGCCGTAAAAGGCGACTATGCTTGTCGTAAGAGGCGACTAATGGGATCGGGTGGTCAGGCTCGCTGACTTGGTTGATGCATGTCATCGTATCCCAGTTGCGTGGATCGATGTTCATGATGTCAATCACTGGATTGTCTGGTCCAGACTCGATTAGTTTGAGACTGCAATCATATAGCTGGAATAATGCTGAGTGCGGCGTTAAACAACAGAAACAAACAAACAAACAAACAAACCCACATGGGTACACTGTGTGAAGCCAATTTCTGGTGTCCCCCGCCGTGATATTGCTGGAATATTGCTAAAAGCGGCGTAAAGCCGAACTCACTCACTCACTCAGAAGATATGGCGAAACGGGGAAACAAGCTGGAGTTACGGAAAGGTGATAGGGTTACTAATCAGTGTTATAATGATATATTCAAATCTACTGCCACATACGCAAAGCTCTGTAGCTCAACTGCTTTTTTGTAATATTTTCAAAATAATAAAACTATTTATAAACAAAATTAACACGAAAATGCCTAACTCATTAACAGAAGTTTCAATGATGCATATTCCATTGCATTGAGATTATAAGTATAAACAATAATCAATAAAAAATCTTAATTAAGTAATAGTAAATAATGCCGTGTTTAGTACGATGTACATGACAACCATGTTTAGAATCGGATCAGAATTCTGGTATCAAAATTTGAAGAGATACCAGGGTTTTTTCGGGGGCAAAATATTGCGCCGTATACTCATAACAATTATGAACAGACGCAAATGATATCCATTGGGCACACACGGTTTGGGTGTTGGAATGATTAAATTGAAACTATAAGTTTGATTTGTATTATATTTCTGTTCTGATAAGAAGTACAATCAATGTTCGGACATTCCTTGTTAGATTTCTTTACTAAGTCATTAAATTTCGTTTCAAACAGGACCGCCTCCGTGGTCTAGTGGTAGAGCGTCATACCAAAATACTTTCAAAGATGGTATTTGTTGTTACCCTGTCTGGCGCTCGGGATTATAAGGGGCTAAACAGGGTCGGCTCGGAGTCAGTCGGGGTATTCATGTTAAACTGCGGCATGGTATCTCAGTGGGCTAGCACTATAAATCGGCATCAGTCCGGACTCAGTACAAGCACGCACGCACGCACGCACGCACGCACGCACGCACAATGAGCAAAGGAAAGTATACATCCATGTTTGATGGTGGCTGTTATTCGATGATGATGATGATGATGATGATGATGATGATATTGTAATGTGCAGTAATGTGAATCAGGTCATGTCATGGGTATACTAAGCTTTCTTCACTTCAATTATTCTGCTTCGTGTGGTAATTTTGTACGTTTGTTTGTTTGTTGGTTGGTTGGTTGGTTGGTTAATGCCTAACTCAACAATATCCCAGCTATAAGTCTGGACGAGACAATCCAGTGATTGATATCATGAGCATCGATCTACGCATGTTGAGGGAGCATGCATGCTTAATATGTTGATGATATTAGTTGTAGTTTGTTTGTTTGTTGTTTAACGCCGCACTCAGCAATATTCCAGCTATATGACGGCGGTCTGTAAATAATCGAGTCTGGACCAGTCAATCCAGTGATTGTCATCATGAGCATCGATCCACGCATGTTGGATGACACGGTGACATGCATCAACCAAGTCAGCGAGTTGGACCACCCGATCCCGTTCGTCGCCTCTTACAAGTACAGGCGCTGAAGACCTTTTCTAACCTGGATCTTCACGGGTAGTAGTAGTAGTAGTAGTAGTAGTAGTAGTAGTAGTATACTAAGTATACTAAGTTGGTGAATAGATTGAATGAGTTCGGCTTGTGGCATATATTTTGTGGATCCAATCACTTCCCTCGGGACGTAAAATACACATTTATGTATTTTGAAATCATATAACTCAGCAGGGGTACAGATCCACTGTTCACTAACCCAGTGGTTGATAGTGAGAGCACTCATCCACTATTTTCTCACCCAGTGGTTGATAGTGAGAGCACTCATCCACTGTTCTTTCACCCAGTGGTTGATAGTGAGAGCACTCATCCACTGTTCTCTCACCCAGTGGTTGATAGTGAGATCACTGATCCACTGTTCACTAACCCAGTGGTTGATATTGAGAGCACTGATCCATTGTTCTCTCACCCAGTGGTTGATAGTGAGAGCACTCATCCACTGTTCTCTCACCCAGTGGTTGATAGTGAGAGCACTCATCCACTGTTCTCTCACCCAGTGGTTGATAGTGAGAGCACTCATCCACTGTTCTCTCACCCAGTGGTTGATAGTGAGAGCACTCATCCACTGTTCTCTCACCCAGTGGTTGATAGTGAGAGCACTCATCCACTGTTCTCTCACCCAGTGGTTGATAGTGAGATCACTGATCCACTGTTCACTCACCCAGTGGTTGATATTGAGATCACTGATCCACTGTTCACTCACCCAGTGGTTGATATTGAGAGCACTGATCCACTCTTCGCTCACCCAGTGGATGATAATGAGAGCACTGATCCATTGTTCACTCACCCAGTGGTTGATAGTGAGAAGACTGATCCACTGTTCACTCACCCAGTGCTTGATAGTGAGAGCACTGATCCACTGTTCACCCTACCAGTGGTTGATAGTGAGAGCACTGATCCACTGTTCACTCACCCAGTGGTTGATAGTGAGAGCACTGATCCACTGTTCACTCACCCAGTGGTTGATAGTGAGAGCACTGATCCACCGTTCACTCACCCAGTGGTTGATAGTGAGATCACTGATCCACAGTTCACTCACCCAGTGGTTGATAGTGAGAGCACTCATCCACTCTTCGCTCACCCAGTGGTTGATAGTGAGATCACTGATCCACTGTTCACTCACCCAGTGGTTGATAGTGAGAGCAATGATCCACTGTTCACTCACTCAGTGGTTGATAGTGAGAGCACTGATCCACTGTTCTCTCACCCAGTGGTTGATAGTGAGATCACTGATCCACTCTTCGCTCACCCATTGTATGATAGTGAGAGAACTGATCCACTGTTCTCTCACCCAGTGGTTGATAGTGAGATCACTGATCCACCGTTCACTCACCCAGTGGTTGATAGTGAGAGCAATGATCCACTGTTCACTCACTCAGTGGTTGATAGTGAGAGCACTGATCCACTGTTCTCTCACCCAGTGGTTGATAGTGAGATCACTGATCCACTCTTCGCTCACCCAGTGTATGATAGTGAGAGAACTGATCCACTGTTCTCTCACCCAGTGGTTGATAGTGAGATCACTGATCCACCGTTCACTCACCCAGTGGTTGATAGTGAGAGCACTGATCCACTGTTTTTAGCTTTTATCCACCACTCGCTCAACTCTCTCAATGGTTAAAGTGAGTCCATAGTTGGGCTATGCACATTCAGTGGCGGAAGAGGACATTGGATTTACTCTAGTAAAATGACAAGAAAATGAACGAAACAAATTATATCGTGTATCTTTGAACCTACTCTTGTGTGAGATATCTGTGATGACACGTCAGGATAAACTGAGAAAAGAATCCATCCTAACATAAAAATAGCACCAAGGCACTGTAGCTCACCTCCTGTGTAGTCACCATTTTAAAATGTCCAAAAAGCTGTCAGCATTGCTATTCAAATATGTTGTGCATAAATAGTGAGGAAAATCTAACAATATGGCTGCAATGGTGGCCATATTGAAATTAAGATTTAAACCTCTAGTACAAATTGGGGGTGTCATCTTTAGTGGGAACAAGTACTTCGTTTCAGGTTCTCTGGTTCAGTGGTTTCTGGCGAGATGTTTACAACAGATGAAGCTTGACGGCTTCCTTTACTTGCGGACCCGTGAAGATCCGAGGTAGAATAGGCAAGAGGCAACTGACGGGATCAGTTGGTCAGGCTCGTTGACTTGGTTGATGCATGTCATCGATCCCAATTACGTGGATGGATGCTCATGATATTAATCACTGGATTGTCTGGTCCAGAATCGAATTCTTGACAGACCGCCGTCATACAGCTAGACTATTGCTGAGTGCGGCGTAAAACAGCAAACCAACCAACCAACCAACCAACCTTTACTTACTGGGCAAATAAGCCGTGACATAAGATCACTTGACTTTCAGTCAAGTGTGCTAATGCAGTAAATTACGGTTATAACGAACTCAAAGGGACTACTGATATTAGTTCGATATAACAGTAGTTCGCTATAAGCATATATACAGCACATATACAGCAAATGGCTGGAACAAAAGAATATGTTTGTTATATCCGTCAGTTCGTTATAAGCGTGTTCGTTATAAATGTTGTTTACTGTATATTAAAAATTGTCATAGCCGACAGAGTACAGAAACCATATATCACAGTTTGGAGTTTGGAGGATGTTTTTAGCGTTAAATTTGCAGCAAGAAATGGAACAGTGTGTCTGGTTCTGACACCCTTTTGACAGTAGTTTGGTTACATGGTGTGTCACTGACACCTGGGGCACCGATTCCCAGCCAGTACAGGAAGTAGTTAAAAAACCACTCTGAACACAAGCATCATCTGATGTATTCATAGACAATATTTTATTTCACACATTGCAGTATTTGCATTTAGATGCCCAGACCACAGAACATAGTCTCCTTTTAATAAATGCATGGTAAAGCTTAACATATTCCAGCCAATCAGGATTGTGGTTGTATCCGGAGTCGGACAGACTGAATACTGTCACGGTCGGGAATGTCCTTATTACACAGGGGACAGGTTAAACCAGGGTCTGCTTTATAGTTGCTCTGAAACAGAAGAATATACACAAGTTCAGATCATTTGCATGTATGGTTATTCACATATAACTGCATCTTCCCGAGGCAAGAGAGTTAACTGTCTTTAAAAGTCCAGTTTCCACCCTTGCTGTAGGGATTCTGGGTTGGAATTGGTACGCTAGTAGCAAGAGGCAACCAAATGGTTTGGGTGGTCAGGCTCAGTGACTCAGTTGATTGCAGTCATCGTACACCGATGGCGTGGATCATTGCTCACAATGTAAGCACCAGGTCTGGTATAGTCCGTAGAACATTTGTTATTAATCTGAATCCCATCAGTCAATAGATAATGTTGGTTGGTTGGTTGGTTTGTTGTTTAACGTCGCACTCAGCAATATTCCAGCTATATGACGGCGGTCTGTACATAATCGAGTCTGGACCAGACAATCCAGTGATTGATATCATGAGCATCGATCCACGCAATTTGGATAGATGACATGCATCAACCAAGTCAGCAAGCCTGACCACCCAATCCTGTTAGTCACCTTTTACGACAAGCAGAGTCACCTTTTACGGTAAGCATGGGTTGCTGAAGACCTTTTCTACCCCGGATCTTCACGGGTCAATAGTTAATGTACACAGATGCCTTGAACAGTGGGAGATTTTGTACTTTTTTTTAAATAAAATGCTTCCTGAATCCCATGCTTAAAACATTTGGAGAGAGTTGGGTTTACTGCCATTCCAGACTGTATTCCAGTAATATTACGGCGTGTCAGCTTAATGTGGGAGGAAAACCTGAGGTGATGCAGGTCTCAGATGCTTACCACTTTGGTGAAACCCACAAGCACGGGTATGGTGCTGACAAACCTAGAAACATAATCAGGGCGAACCGGGATTCGTACCCATGATAACAGATTTCTGGCGTGCCCAAGGGGCGCAACTCTTGCCAAAACATTTGGATGAAAATCTAGTTTATTTAGTGAGTGAGTGAGTGAGTGAGTGAGTGAGTGAGTGAGTGAGTGAGTGAGTATGGTTTTATGTTGCTTTTAGCAATATTTCAGCAATATCATTTCGGGGGACACCAGAAATGGGCTTCACACATTGTACCCAGGTGGGGGGAATCGAACCCAGGCCTTTGGCGTGATGAGTGAATGCTTTAACCACTCGGCTTCCCCCCATCCCTAATTTACTAAGGCCTAAGGAGAAATATATATTTACTTACATGTATACAGTAGTAGCAGAACACATGTACACAGCCGATCTCTTGGGGGTCAACCGGCCACTCCCCACACACACCACACGAAGTCAGATGGTGTCGGGATCTCTCCACCAGAGGGTGCTGTGTTGTCCGACGTGGGAATGTCCAACGTACCACAGTGTTTTTGATTCTCTGCAAGTTGACTAGTGGGAGGGCAAAGAACAAAAATTCCTGGAGGAAGAAACAGGATTGGAATCAATTTAGGGAAAAGTTGTAAAACAGATCTTAAGCAACCAGGGCTTCTTGTACGAGTGAGTGAGTATTGTTTTACACTCTTTTAGCAATATTCCAGCAATATCATGACGGGGGACTCAAGAAATGGGCTTCACACATTGTACCCATGTGGGGAACTGAACCCAGGTCTTCAGCGAGACAAGCAAACACTTTACCACTAGGCTACCCCACCGCCCCCTTCTCATGAGAGTGCACCCAAGACAAAGTTTTCAACAAATGTATTTTCTACTTGGGTGGTGGGGTAGCCTTGTGGTTAAAGCACGTGCTTGTCACAACAATGGCCTGTGTTCGATTCTCCACATGGGTACAATGTGTGAAGATATGTCCCCCTACCGTGATATTACTGGAATATTCTCTCTCACCCTCCCTCACACCCACCCACCCACTCACTGCAAGAAAACCCATGAAGATTCCGGATAGAATAGGTCTTCAGCAAACCAGCTTGCCGTAAAAGGTGACTATGCTTGTCGTAAGAGGCGTCTAAAGGGATCGGGTGGTCAGGCTCGCTGACTTGGTTGATGCATGTCATCGTATCCCAGTTGCTCATTATGTTAATCATGCTTGCTGTAAAAGGCGACTATGCTTGTCACCCGGCTGTTCTACCCACTGAGACCACCCGGCTGTTCTACCTACCGAGACCACCCGGCTGTTCTACTTACTGAGACCACCCGGCTGTTCTACTTACCGAGACCACCTGGCTGTTCTACTTACTGAGACCCCCCAGCTGTTCTACCCAGTGAGACCACCCGGCTATTCTACCTTCTGAGACCACCCGGCTGTTCTACTTACCGAGAAGCCATGCCAAAGCAGCTCCCTCGTCATGTACTCAAAGCTGACCTGAAACATGAGTTGTTTTTAGATTTGAGGGTGTTATTCAGTACTTGACGACAAAAAAGTTCATTGGAGTAACACACTTATTTTCTGCAGCACTCTCTTTCAACCTGCACGAGGATCAGTCATGAGACCAAGTGGTCACTCTGGAATCCAAGCTTTATATAGATGCATGGCTGAGATGCTGAGTAAAATGAAAAAACACAAATGGAAAATATAATGTCCCCATTTTTCAAAGTTTGGAACAAAGACAAAAAGTAATTCTTTTATTAATACAAGTATTCCAATTGCACAAATTTCTGGGGTTTGAATCCCACAGGACAACATTTTTTAATCGATTGCGGCACACACACATCAATTTTCTAATGGTTGGCAAGTAGTAATGTGGGTGGATGACTGGGAGGTTTGGATGGTTCCTGAGTGAGTTCCTGAGTTAGTTCCTGAGTGAGTGGTTGGTAGGGTGGGTGAGTTAGTATATATGGGTGGATTGGTAGGTGAGTGGTTGGGTGGTTTGGATACTTCCTGAGTGAGTGGGTGGGTGAGTGGGTGAGTGGGTGAGTGAGTGAGTGAGTGAGTGAGTGAGTGAGTGATTGAGTGAGTGATTGAGTGAGTGAGTGAGTGAGTGAGTGAGTGAGTGAGTGAGTGGTAGGGTGGGTGAGTTAGTATATATGGGTGGATTGGTAGGTGAGTGGTTGGGTGGTTTGGATACTTCCTGAGTGAGTGGGTGGGTGAGTGGGTGAGTGGGTGAGTGAGTGATTCAGTGAGTGAGTGAGTGAGTGAGTGAGTGAGTGAGTGAGTGAGTGGTAGGGTGGGTGAGTTAGTATATACGGGTGGATTGGTAGGTGAGTGGTTGGGTGGTTTGGATACTTCCTGAGTGAGTGAGTGAAGGGGGGTGAGAATAAGGTTGGTTGGGTAGATGTAATGAGTGAAGGGTGGGGGGAAACATGTGGGTGTGGCTGAAGTCAGAATTGAGTAATGTTCACAGTGAGTGAATGTGTGGATAGTTCTGTCAAATTATTGTGTAGATGACACCAGAATGAAAATCAAAACAGATCCTCTTCAACAAATTGGGTTTTGATTTTCAGGGGAGTGAGTAAGTGATAATGGCATAATGCTGCATCAGCATTTTTTTGAAGATTTATGTGAATCATCATTACAACCATATAAAGCTTCATCTTTATTGGTATAGGACCAGAAACAAATGCCAACGAGCTGTGGACAAACACACCATGACTTAAAATCAAGTGAGCTTAAAATGTCACAATCTATCATTTTGTTTTTGTTTGTTTGTTTGTTGCTTAACGCCGCACTCAGCAATATTCCAGCTATATGACGGCGGTCTGTAAAATAATCGAAATCCAGTGATTGATATCATGAGCATCGTTCCACACAACTGGGATCGATGACATGTATCAAGTCAAGTCAGCGAGCCTGACCACCCGATCCCGTTAGTCGCCTTTTATGACAAGCATAGTCGCCTTTTACGGCAAGTTTTGGTTGCTGAAGACCTATTCTACCCCGGAATCTTCACGGGTCTACAATCTATCAAATATTGAGGTTCATCTATCAACACAGACAGGTGTATAAGGGCATCTTCCCACCTGTCTCAGGCCCTGCCTCTGCGGGAACATCGACTGAACACCCAAAATCCTCTCCACCACGCTGAGGTAGCCTCCACGACGGAGGAACATGAGGAAGTTGACCAGTGCTGCCACCTTCAGGGTCGTCTCTGCCCACTGCAAGTACTTCTCTATCTGGGACAGAGAAATACACAGTCAATAAACAAAACAAGTTGACCTGGGCCATGTTCTACAGAGCAATCTTAGCACTAAGATGACAGTAACATCCATTCTTTAACATAGACTAACAACAGTCGCAGTACTAAGATGACCGTAACTTCCATTCTTTAACAAAGACTAACAACAGTCGCAGAGCTAAGATGACCGTAACTTCCATTCTTTAACATAGACTAACAACAGTCGCAGAGCTAAGATGACCGTAACTTCCATTCTTTAACAAAGACTAACAACAGTCGCAGAGCTAAGATGACCGTAACTTCCATTCTTTAACATAGACTAACAACACTCGTAGCCTAAGATGACCGTAACATCCATTCTTTAACATAGACTAACAACACTCGTAGCCTAAGATGACTGTAACTTCCATTCTTTAACATAGACTAACAACACTCGTAGCTTAAGATGACCGTAACATCCATTCTTTAACATAGACTAACAACACTCGTAGCCTAAGATGACCGTAACTTCCATTCTTTAACACAGACTAACAACACTCGTAGCCTAAGATGACCGTAACTTCCATTCTTTAACATAGAATAACAACAGTCGCAGCGCTAAGATGACCGATGCAGCTGTTGTAGGAGAATACAGGTCATTCAACACACATTACCGTATTTTCTTGAGCATAGTGCGCACCCATGTATAATGCGCACCCCCCTCTAGCGGGTTCAATATTTTAGAAAAAAAGAAATTTGAATATTATGCGCAGAAATTTTTTACACCGTACCCTTTCAGCGAAGTCCGGCAAACGAACGGGTGCTGAGAAACTTCGTCAGTACAAATTCGAAATTTGAGATAAAAAATCACCAGACATGTTTATTTACCGTTTAAAAAGTATTTATTGTTCTGCTAGGCATTGTTTTATATTTAGGGATTAAGATTACCTTGCGTATTTTCTCGTAAACTAAGCTGGAAACAGCAATCAGCTGTACACACATTTTCTTGGAATCGACCGGTGATTCGGTCAAGACACACCCAATGATATAACTTTATAAGATTTTTAATGCAAGGATCGGCAACAATTGTATCTGAAACTATTTTATTTATCAGGAATAATATATTCCATTATTTTCATAATTATATGCAACCTTTACTAAACATATTTAAAATAATAATAACCCTAAGCGAAGCAGCTGATCGCTATTCCCGGGTATTATTTTTTACATGGAACATGTCTGACCAGTCACCGTCAAGGCTCACGCGCACGTGATCACGTGACATAGAATCGTCAAACAAAAACAAATATGACTTTTAACGAGGCAAAGTATGTCATTTATGATATATGTATCCATTCTCTGTCAACTAAAGTTTGTTTCAAGGCGTCAATAGCGGTATTCTGACCGTGGTTGCTGCTAATAACGGTGAGTTGTGCGATCTTCCGATCGCTTCACACACGATTTCGCCGAAATTAATAAAAACAATATTATAAGGAATTTTGAATAAAATAGTCCAGATATAAAAAGAACACTTTTTATAGCCAGACAGTGTAATTACATAAGTATTTTGCGTACTTCAGTATGGATTTGTTGACATGGTATTTCCGGTGTTTCGTGCTCACGGTAATGTCTTTCCATGGGGGGAAAAAACATCCAAACTCATAATTCGTGTATAATGCGCACCCCCTTCTACACAGCTGTGTTTTTTCGAAAAAAAGTGCACACTATACTCAAGAAAATACGGTACACAAAATGTATTGGCCTATCTGTGGCAGTTTTTGACACCCCATGCACCCCAGCCAATCAAAATTAACATACCCTATCCTCCCAATTCTCCAGGCGAAGTAATCTGACGAGGTCATGTGATCGGTCTCGTAGCCAGGGACAGCCAATGAGAATGAGGGCATATAACCACTTCTGGCGGCTGGACATCCATGCTTGGGGTGCCTTGTTGCTTCCATATCTGATGTTGAGGATCTGCTGCCCAATGGAGGCATCCCATTGGTGGATGGAAAACTGAAATAAATGGCACAAAAACTTGTTTTGCAAAATTTGAGATCAGAGGCACACTTTAAATCACTGAATTAATGCATCATCCAGTTATTGTGAGTGATAACCCCTAGCCTAAAGGAGTGGTGGGGAAGCCTAGTGGTTAAAGCGTTCCCTTGTCACGCAGAAGGCCTGGGTTCGATTCCTCACATAGGTACAGTGTGTGAAGCCCATTTCTGGTGTCCCCAACCATGATATTGCTTGAATATTGCTAAAAGCGGAGTAAAACCATACTCACTCACTCACTTACCTAGCCTAAAATGCATCAAGAAATTAATGCAAGTTTCCCTACCTTTCATTTCATAAATAGTCCACTTTACACTTTAAATCACTGAATTAATGCATCATCCAATTAATGTGGTGGAAAGGGTGAACGGGAATCACGCACGCATGAATACGGTGTTAGCGTTTGGCGTCTCAACGTGCGTGATTCCTCTGCACCCTTTCGAGTTGAGTTGATTGGTTCAACTGTGTCATATGGCCCTGTGACACAGGAGTAGCATTATGCAGATGGCTGTTTCAATGAATGCTCGTTCCACCCGTGACGAACAGGTCTAGTTGTTGATGAAATATAGTGATAGCTAAATAGACAGAATTTTTATTCATGCACCGATTGTCTTTAAATGTAATATCCAGTTATGTATGACTGTTTAATAATCTCATACCAACTTGACCGGAGTAGGTCCAATAGTTTTTCAGATATTGTAGTAAACATCGGTACCTTAAATTACCTTCCAGACTATAAGTTCTCTTTTAAATATGTCTGATCAATGTGAGCCTGGACTATTTATATCCTGGCAATATTGTTTGAGTTATCTATTACAGACTTAATAACTTAAGTTTTTTGCAAAAACAAATATTTTTCAATGAAAGACTGGAAAAAAGTAATGTAGCCTCAATATTTACACACAAGCATTTTTTACAGACTTGTTGACTGTCCTAAGAAAACAAGTGTGTTGGGAATAGTAAATACACAGACTAAAACTGTTGGTCTTGAAGCAGCGAAAATCCTAGACCCCTGGGGTATGAAATGGTATGTTTTTGTTTGTTTGTTTGTTGTTTAATGCCGCACTCAGCAATAATTTTGCGATATGACTGCGGTCTGTTAATAATCATGTCTGGACCAGACAATCCAGTGATTGACATCATGGGCATCGATCCACACAATTGGGATACGATGACATGCATCAACCAAGACAGCAAGTCTGACCACCCGATCCCGTTAGTCGCCTCTTACAACAAGCACAGTCGCCTTTTACAGCAAGCATGGATTGCTGAAGACCTATTCTTCCCCGGATCTTCAGGGGTATACCGGTAAGAGAATCATGAATGTGCAATGATCTTGTCAAGCTTGCGTGATGTATGGCCACATAAAAGGGACTCGCTTAAAGAGAAACAATAGCAACATTAAACAAATCTTCATTTTCTCCTTGTAGAAAGTAAAGAGCCCAGAAACGTCCCTGACTGGGACTTCTCCATTGACTGTTGCCTATCAACAAACGTACCTCACTCTTGAGCTGCTCGGACACAAGCCACAATAAATACTGTCACAGTTTTATTACCAACATCAACTTGTACAGAAGCAAAAGCACTCTGAGGTTCTATACACCAGCTTGCACCAGGAGGTTTAGCTGTGTGGGCAGATCCAGGGGGTCCACAATTTCAATGAGGGCATGAATTGTGCATGCGTGTGTGCCCGTTGTTTACATTTTTTTCCATATTCATGCATATACTCAGGTATGAAATTCACTTAACCAGTTTGAAACAAGCTTGGTGCTGTAGTAAACTTTGGAAATCTCAATTTCCTACACTAATTGTGCACAGACGACTTTGAAAAGCTTTAGCTACAGCCAGGTTGGCATTGTATATATAACAAGGAGCATCTTCGCGAGGCAAGGGATTTAACTGACTATAATGTGAGGTGAAATTGGGTTTAACGTTGCGTCCAAGATTGTTGCCATTATGTAGCGAAGTGCTTGCACATGTGTGTGTGGCTGCTTGTACTAGTCCGGACTGATGCCGATTTATAGTGCTAACTCACTGAGATACCATGCCGCAGTTTAACGTGAATACCCCACTCAGACACAGTATACTGACTCCAAACCGACTAGTCCTTGTTTTAGCCCCTTAATGCCAAGCCCCAAACAGGGTAACAACAAGTACCATCTTTTAACGTCTTTTGCTATGACACGGCCGGGGATCGAACCCGGGACCTTACGCTCTCTGGGCGGACACTCTACCACTAGACCACGGAGGCTGTCAACTGACTATAAAAGTCCAGTTTCCACGAAATGAAAATAAACACAATGTGGGGAGACATGCAAAGGATCTTGAAACAGAATTGTTTGCACATACACTTCAAACTCACTCCTCCCTTCTTCAATATCTAGGATCCTCGGGGGCACGGTTGGCCCAGTCGTCTAAGACGCCACGATTCGCTGTGCAGAGTTGCTTCCCTTGGGTACGCCAGAAACCTATGATTGTGGGTTCGAATCCCCGTTCGCCCCGATTATGTTTCTAGGTTTGTCAGCACTATACCCGTGCTCGTGGATTTCACCGAAGTGGTAAACCTCTGAGACGTGCATCACTTCGGGCTTTCCTCCCACATTAAGTTGACACGCCGTGATATAACTCATTTTTAAAAATAAAGAAGACATTTTCAAAAAGACACATTTTGGGAATAAAATTATGCATGTCTATTCATAAAAATTTCTTCTGCCGTGAATAACCCAGAAGATTTCCGCGCTACATACAATTCCACTGGTTTACAAGGTACACTGCTCATAGATATTTAGACAGGCGCCAGTTCCACAGGACTAGGTGTGTTCCAAGGCATTCACTTCTCAATTCCATCAAATGGTAAAATGCATTAAATATCATTTTCACTCTCAATTTCATCAATTCCAAAAGACAGCAAACAAAAATAGCACATTCATATGAAGATATCAAGATCAGTCGCCAAAGAATATTAAATATCAAAAGCTCATTAACAATAATGAAAATTAAAGATATACCTTCAGGACATGATCTTTCAATCTCACCTAGAGTCTGTTACAAATGAATACAATTTTCTCATGCATCATATCCCTCAACATGTCTGTGAATCGACTAAAACAGCCAATAATCATCATAAAAGTTAATCATTATCATACCAAACACAAAGAGATGCTTCCTAAAGTCCTTAGTCCAGTCAACAGATCTTAGATTCCCATATACATCAACAAAACAAGTAACCAGAATATATTTCCAAGAACATCATTTTTGCGTTTATTGATCTGTGATAAGTTTCCTATTTGACAATCTAATTACAAGCATTTGAATACAATTGATTTAAACTACTGCTAATCAATAAAACTATCATTTTACCATCTATAAGGAAATCATTTTACCATTTACACATCCACGGTTACCGTGGTGATATCACAGGAAGCATATCGTGAGATAATATTTCTGAAAATGTTACATGAATGATTGATTAGCATGATTAGCGTGCAATAAATGGACCTGTGATAACAGATAATCAATATGCAATTATCAATACCCAGTACCCAGATATGACTTGATATCATGGGAAGGGAGACAACTCTGTATTTCCTAACTGGAAAACCTTTATATTTTACAAAAAGCTTCCCCTTAATTTTGCACAAGTCAAAACACTGTGTTGCTCCCATGTCACTTTCATTTGAGAGCATGGTTTAATATAAAGGAATGCAATATTATTCCGTAGTCATGGCAACAAATATTCATATATTTGATCACTGTATATGGCAGAGCTGTTTCGGAGAGGAAGGGTTGAGGTATTTTGCCTTTTTCAGCATTGCCAATGGCCAAAGCTGATTGCAGATGAATACCTAAAAGAAACATGTAACCATAATAATAATAATAATAATAATAATAGGCTATTTATATTGCGCATATTTCTACACCACTCAGGGGCATGGTCTAGTGCTATCATTACCCCCGTCACTGGATCATTGTGCACTCAAGAATCATTCTCAGCTTCCTGGGGAGTATACAACCCAAGCTAACTAGATGGTTAACAACAAGCTCCTTCATCAGTAACAGTTTCTAAGTATTTTAGCCACTTTGCAAAAATAACAGGGGATCTGGGGGACTTGAGACCCACAATGACTTGAAACAAATCCTATTGTAATGAAATATCATTTTTAGTTTCCTAAGTTAATGAAACATACTACGTTTGTTGAAATGAGGCTTGGATCGATGTCACTGTGGAGGTTGCCGCACGCCATTATGGAACTTCTAATTTTTCAGTAATATTTCTATGTTGATGTCCAATTTTCCATGCTTGTGAATTGCCTTGATATTTGAGCTTTAATTAAAATGCAGAGAGTCATTTTTGTCTCCATTTTTTTTAGCTTCATCACCCGATTTAGAAAAAGTCATGCTGTCGCGTATTGCTGTATAAGTTGCATCGAGCAAACATGGCGGCTAGGTATCCGGTAATTTGTTTATGTACAAATTGTTTTTAATTCTTATGATAACTTAATGCAATAATTACTAGTAATCTGAACACCAATAGCAAAATTGTTCCATATCCTCACATAATATGAGTTCCCTTTGCTTTTTAGTTTCTGTAAACAAATGAAGAATATTTGTTCAATTGTAAATATATCCACAATTTGTCACTTCCATACCATTATGAAATACCCATCACATCACGGCCATACTCATAAAACAGTTCCAGCCTTGTGGTTTCTAAGAATGTTTTAAAAATATTTTGAAAGTTCATATTTTTACCTATTTAAAAATTCTTACAGTTTTAACTGGCATGAACTTAAGACATTGTGAGTGAGTGAGTGAGTGAGTGAGTGAGTGAGTGAGTGAGTGAGTGAGTGAGTGAGTGAGTTGTTTTCCACTTTTAGCAATATTCCAGCAATACCAGCAGAGGACACGACACCACAAGTTGTCTTCCCACATCGTACTCAAGTGGGAAATCAAACTCGGGCCTTCAGTGTGACAAGCAAACGCTGTAACCACTAGGCTACCTTTCGGTCAAAACCTAGTAATTTATTTATGTCCTAATTGTATTACTTTGGCTGGAGAGTTGGAGAATTGTATTTAATGTAATGATAACCATGTAATATTACTCTGCAGCTAATTTGTGCATTATAGCAATATCTCCATGCGCCCTTATTTCCTTCCCTCAGTATATTTAGAATAGGTCTGAAGCAACCCATGCTTGCCGTAAAGGCGACTACGCTTGTCATAAGAGTTGACTAACAGGATCGGGTGGTCAGGTTCGCTGACTTGGTTGATGCATGTCATCGATCCCCATTGCGTGGATCGATGCGCATGATATCAATCACTGAATTGTCTGGTCCAGATTCGATTATTTACAGATCGCCGTCATATAGCTGGAATATTGCTGAGTGCGGCATAAACAACAAACCAAACCTATTACTACTACGTGACATGATACTGAATACATTTATCATCCAAAACTGCCTTCTATGGGAGATATCACTTGGCTGAAATCAAAAACATAATGAAATTGCATCACAATGCCTTGCAGACCATTGTGACATATTCGTTACCATGACATCACAATCAAATGACATCACAATCTCTACAGTCCATTCCAAACATACTGAAATGAAACAGTAGCCATTTATTTGTTTATTTGATTGTTAATTTACACTTTATTCAGCTATATGATGGCTGCCTGCAAATAATACAGTCAGAACCAAACAATCCAGTGACATAAACTATGACCTTGACATGCCATCAACCACGTAACTGACCCAGGCCACCTTACACCTCTTACGACAAACATAAGAAGCTGGGGACTAATTCTTATGCAGACTTATAGTCAGTGTCTTCAGACCCTGGAGAATAAATATAAAAACGAGTCAAACTCAAGTCTAGATTGAAATTAAGGATTGCCCTGGGCTCAATTTGGATTTTATAAGTTTTACTTTGTAGATATAGATTTGAAATAAGATAACTTTATTTCTGGGACTTAATGTCAGTCTAACTCGGAATCCCCATAGAAAAACAAGCATAGATAGCTGGGGACCTATTTTAACCTAGAATCCCATTGGGGAAGCAGCCTAGTTGGCTATGAACAATGAATAATTGAATTTCTAAATCCAGTTGAAAGCTTTACTTTTTTATAAAGTACCTTTTGGGAATATTAAAAGCTGGCTTTCTTAAAAGAAATTCTCTACATAATGGCCCATACTTACCGGTATCTTACATAAGTTTATACAAACATCTCGTCAATATTTTATATTTTGATTCATTTGTTTCACCAGGGCTGGTTGTGATGACACATATGTTGTCAAGTAACAAATATAAGTTCGTAACCAGGATACAAATAAACATTTCAAAACAGCAAAAACCTGAGGCACTATTTTTCTGTCCCTTTTGTCTTAAACACAGCCAAAGGATAGAGATGTTATCAAGACAGTCTTAACATGACTATTATACCCTTAATAGATTTTTTAGGTGCGGCTACACAACTGGTCCAAGCTGATTGGCAAGGTGATTTGTGTGAAAAGGCTCTGTATTGACTAAAACTGCTGTCTGTTAACGACCTAGGTGCACACTCGGCAAAACCCATTGATGATCCCAAAACAAACAAGGCTCTGAGGAGACGACCAAAATGTATTTATAGAAAAAACCATGATAAACGACATTGTTGCTAAGGCTTGCTAAAGCTGGTTGTCATGGAAAAATACATTCATAAATTATTTTCGAATCTAGACTTAATATTGTCTTATTGTCATGATATTAATGTGTGTAGTAAAAATAACAATGCTGTGAGCCAGGCAGTGAATTAAATACGGGTCGCATGGACAGCCACAGGTTAGAACATGTAACATACAATACGACAATATATACACCTGCTGGAGTAGAGTGATCAGCTAGGGAGCTGCCATAATAGCCAGATACTTAATCTTGGCGTGTGAGCAGCGATAGGATAATCTTACACCTGGGTACAGCACTGGTCAATAGATGTTATCAGCCACTGTGGAACTGTTGTCACGGATGGATTGCCAAGGTTGAGGTCGTACGAGCACTCACATTTCGTGGGGTTACAGCATGGTGGGTTTAAATCCTCTTGTGCTTGACTGGAGTATTTACTGTGAGCGACTGGGATGTGAATGGCTGTAAATGCCGGCTAAGCTGGGACAATTGGATTGCAGCCATGTTCAATACGCGGAGTTGTTTTGACCCCTGTGATAAGGGTGTGTGGGTAATCATGCTGTTTGGATATCAGTGGGCAGTATAAAACTCTGAGGTTAAGTGACTCTTGTTGTGGTCATGGAGGAGGCAGACGGACAACGCGACCCAGAGTCCCCTTCCCGTGTGGATGTTGAGGGGGCACCTGCAGACACTGGGTTTCAACAATCGGCAGTGTCTGAAACACCAATCAGCCAATCATCGGAGGGATCTCTGGACACTGATGATACCAGTCTTGAAATTGCATTGGCTGATGACCAGACTAGCGAGCCAATCAGGGATGGAGGTGAAATTCGAACCCCAGACCAGCTGATCGTCCACTCACCTCCCCCTCCTGAAATTCTTGTGTCATTGCCAGAAGATGAAGATGAAGATGGTCAGGAGGAGGATGAAGATGAAGGTCAAGGTCAGGAAGAGGATGAAGGTCAAGGTCAGGAGGAGGAGGAAGGTCAAGCATTAGATGTCCAAGATTTACAAAGAGAAGGTGAAAATGACAACCGTGATGATGATGATGACAATGATGATGATGATAAGAATTTAACAGTTGTTGAGGACATTGTTGCAGCAGCTGAAGATAAAACTCAGCATCCCAGGGGGAGTTCTCATGAATCAGAGATTAACGAGTTTGACGAGAACGATGAAAATATTGGCAGCGTCAGTGATGAAGAACAAAATATTGCAGACGACTCCCTCACTAGTTTCGAAGACAACCAATCCAGCAGCACCAACTACATGGGCATGTCTCCCCGAAGTATTCCGAGTCTCTCAAAGCAAATTGTGTCTAGCATGTTGTATGGCGACACTGACGACCTTCTTCAAAATTTCAAAGATGACGGACAGTCATCTGTCGTCAGTGATATTTTCACGGATGTCAGTGTCAACAAGACACAGACTGGTCCAGCCCACAACAGCAGAGTAACCTCAAGTTCCTTGCCCTCCTCCAAGCAAATGTCACAACCAAGCAGTTTGAACAGTCATGGCTCAAAGACTATCGGAAGCCAAGCCTTCTTGAATGGCCAATCAGATAAGGGCTTGTATGTAACAAAGACTCCAGTTGGCTACTATCTAGATGAAGAAGAGGCTGAGGTAGGTTGTTAAACACTCAATAACAAACTTATCACTTACTGTGTACAATGTATATATGTATGGGGGTTTTATCAACACGTTTTGAATTGATGCCTTCAGTTGTCTCCCAAGGAGGTCAAAGGGATGCCTTTTAATTATTTCGAATACATCAGTTCTATCCATTAAGTGTCCACCCAAAATATTGTATACATTCAAATAATTCATTTGGAAGTCGTCTGATCCTCCATTGACGCTCAAAATGCATGACTTTGTGTTGCTCTATCTTCATTCAGCGCGACTGATATTGCTGAAGTGTCTGAATAGCACCTTTTCTCTTATTTAGAGCCACAAATGCTAATGTAAATGTGAATTATTTTTGGTGAATAATGTTATTTACCTGTTCTGAGTGAGTGAGTGAGTGAGTGAGGTGAGGTGAGATGAAATGGGGTTTAATGTCGTGTCCAAGATAATTGCACTTAAATGGCAACGTCCATGCACGTGCGTGTGTGTGTGGCTGCTTGTACTAGTCCGGACTGATGCCGATTTATAGTGCTAGCCCACTGAGATACCATGCTGCAGTTTAACATGAATGCCCCACTCAGACACAGTATACTGACTACAAGCTGACCAGTCCTTGTTTTAGTCCTTTAATGCCGAGTGAGTGAGTGAGTGAGTGGGTTTAGGTGAGTGGGTTTGAGTGAGCGAGTGAGTGAGGGGGTTTGGGTGAGTGGGTTTGAATGAGTGAGTGAGTGAGTGAGTGAATGAGTGAGTGAGCATACTTTTACACACAACACTCAGCATATTCCTGCCATATCACAGCAAGCGGAACCTTGAACACTGTTCATGTTGTATCCATGTTGGAATAGAACCCAAGACTCCAGCATGACAAGCAAACACTTTCACACATGGCTTTCCCGCCTAACACTATCCCCATATATCAATACGGACATTTCAATGAATGGTCGGACAGGTCTATTGTCAATAGCTACCGAATTCTCACCCAGACAACTAAAGTCACACACCCAATTACACAGCAGATCATATCTACCCTCTTAGCCCTGAGTCAACCACTTCCGCTACATAAACACATTAATGGGGCTTTGTTTTGGTGTCGGGTATAAGGACTTAACCTGTGCTAAGATCTGACTTAGTACCTTGAGGTATTAATCTCATAATAATCCTCATAGGTAATAATTGCCTGTTAACCTACTAGCTGATACTTAGTTTCAACTAATGATTTTCCTACATTTGCAATATAACACTGAGATAACGACTGAGATTTTTTAGGGGCTAGGTTTCTCAAAGAAACCCTGGGAAGATCTGTGTTAGAATTGGTCTTCAGCAACCCATGCTTGCTGTAAGAGGCGACTGTGCTTGTTGTAATAGGCGATTGGCAGAATCAGGTGACCAGGCTCGCTGACTTGGTTGCATATCATAATATCGAATTGCATAGATCGATGCTCATGATGTCAATCACTGGATTGTCTGTTCCAGACTCAAGTATTAAGAGACCACTGTTATGTAGCTGAAACTGTTCTTCAAAAACTGCTGACACAGCAAGTTTGAATCGATCATTCAATTCAACACAATCTTTGTGATCTTTTGAACTAAACCAGTTTTTTATATGTTCTGGTTATTTCATAGAAAGGTGTGGTTAGTTAGTCCAGTGATGAAAGTGTCAACTTGTCATGATGAAAATCCAGGTTCGAATCCCACATAGGTACAGTGTGTGAAACCATTCTTACTGCCATGTCACAATATTGCTGTAATATTGCTAAACACGGTAAAACCATACTCACTCGCTCAAGCATATGATAAACATCCTAATGAGGTATTTTCTTTAAAAAATGAGAAGATTTCTAAATGTGCCCTTTAGGCATGGTGAACTAACATGTCAACAATGCCATTACAATTTTAACCTTGACATTGGAGCACTAATTTAAGGAAGTCAAATCCTGTATACTGATATCATACACAGGGATCTATCTAAGATTTCAAACTACATGTCCTTGGCAAGTAAATTGAAAATTATTTTTTCCTAAATTGAACTTTCCTATTTTCTTACATTCAGAGGTGTTTTAAAATTGTGTATTAACCATGTTAACATCACATTCAACTATGTAAAACTAAGTAGTATTGTCCCTTCCTTAGTCTGTCATACAGATCCTGAAACAAATATATCCAATACAGCCTATGCAAGTCTATAATATTTAGCAGGTCTAGATTACGGCAGTATCTGAAAATGAAGCGAGTGCCTGGGCTCATTTTATCACATTTCATAACTAAAATTTAACAACTGTTTTTATCCGCAAAATATGTTCATTTCAGAGACAAGATGTTAGTTAACCATTCCTCTGACGTAGCCATCACATTAGATAGAACTATATTAACATTAAGGAGAACATTTACTGACATTTGCTGCAGACTTTGGGCTGAATTCTGGCCTCTGGGCAGGTCTAGATAAACCCTGCACATATCTGTGGCCTTACTGGCATGTTGTTGAGATGGGGCGTGAGAATATCTCTCACATAACACGATTAATGAAACAAGCAGAATAAATATTCATCATAATTTTATACCTGACAATATCAAACACCTGTCCATTCCAGTTCATGAATGTTTATTTAGAAATGTCAGACCCACATGTCAAGTTGACCATATCCCTGGAAACAAACCAACAACAGCCAGATTACACTATTCTTTGCTGTTGCTATGGTAACCTGACAACATAAATGCTTGACACATTGGTTTAATGTACACCATGTCACAATGCAAGTCAAACGTGTGCTAAACAGTCATGTCTCGTCAGGTAAAGCCTCGTTAACGGCCAGGTATATCGGTCATATACACAAATTACACAACCATCACATTTGTGGGGGCGGTCGTGTAGCCTAGTGGTTAAAGCGTTCTCTCGTCACGCCAAGGACCCGGGTTTGATTCCCCACATGGGTACAATGTGTGAAGCCCATTTCTGGTGTCCCCGCCATGATATTGCTGGAATAATGCTACAAGCGGCGTAAAACCATACTCACTCACTCAGTCATATTTGTGAACTGCAAATAGCTGCAATACTCCTGATGAGGATTACAGCAATATTTACTCACTCACACACTCATACTTGTGCAACAACTGTCTTCAATACTTACATAATATTGTTAATATTTATGTGCATGTTTGTTTTGAATACCTGATTTAAAAAAATGTAATTTAATATCAAATTCTTCAATTGTTTACTGGCATTTTTAAAGGATGATAAGTAACAGTAAAGACAAAATATTTTTATGGATGACAACTCCTTTAACATGTTTATTCTAAATAAAACGTTTCGCAATAGATCCTTATACTCTTACTTGATAACGGTATAAGGATCCATACCGAAATGTCACATAATAATAGAATAGAGAAGTTGTCATCCATAAAAAATATCTTGTCTTTACTATCAGCGTCTTACTGGAAAACAATGACCTTGAAATAAGAGGCTTGACAAGAACAAAACTGATGTTGTCCAATGTTGCAGTCTCGGGTATCTGAAGGCCTCAACAATCATTGACAATTCTATTTACAAACTAAAAAATATATTAAACAACAAATTATCTAATCCCCTTATTTATTGTGCAAGAGCTGAAAGTATTTTCTCAATGTATACAAAATGATTTCAACTGAATCGAAGTCCATCTTGTGTACCCAAGTCAATCACCGCTTGATCAACATTTACAGCCCACAATAAGGACTGTGTCAACACTAGCAGTCGTGTGTACAATGTGACAAAACAAAGAGTAGTATATCACCCTTAACTGAGACACCTCATATTCACGTATTATGAATCCTCCACCCCCACCCCAAATACACCTCCCAGTCCCTGCCCCACACCTCCCACCCCACACCTCCCACTCCCCCACCCCACACTCCCCCGCCCCACACCTCCCACTCCCTCGCCCCATACCTCCCAATCCCCACACCACACCTCCCACTCCCCACACCTTCCACTCCCCGCCCCAACACAACCTCTCACCCAACCCCTGATGATGATCAATCTTTTGGGTAAACAGATGACCCAGCACTTGAGGCTTCAAAATGTTAGGTATGAACTGCTTCACTCTCACTGACCACCTCGAAGGCCTAGTAGAGAGAGCATCTGCCCCGAGATCTGTGTCGCAATAAGCGCCTGCCAGTAATCCCGTGGCAGGAAGGTACCATGTCAGGACCATAGTTTCTGTTTTGTATGTGTCCTCAAGTCCTGCAGTACAATTACATGTCGACTTATTTGTCACAATAAGCTGCATTTTATTAAATGAGGGCCTGCAGCTTCTAAAGTGTGGGTCCTGATGGCAGCCTGGCAATTTATTTTATTTCAAACACTGCCTGAGAGCTAAATGTCAGTGGTTCAATCCTGGGCTGCATCAAACCAAAAGGTGTCAAAAGATGGCACTTGTTGTTACCCTGCCTGGGGCAAAACAAAGACGCACACACGTTGCTACCTGTGCAATAAACTTGAACCTCCTTTCACCTTATGTTATTTAAATCATATTAACATTGATTTGATACCATCCTCTATCGATTTGACAAACCCTTCAAACATTTTTCAAATTCATATTTCATACATCATCTTGCTAGTTATTGTAGCTTTGGGGTGTCAAATTAATACCACTAATATTCTGTCACCTGTGAACCAGATGGTCCTACGTCCACATGATGTTTTTGCATTTTCTTTCCAAATGGGTGCTTTTCTAACCTTGTTGTTAATTTCATGAAGCCCCTGTTGCTGGAAAGTAGTTTTTCAGTGATTCTACGTCGAAAAACTCACAAGTTACTTAAAACCAGATTGTTCCCCGTGCATGTCAATGCCCATGTGTCCAATCAAATTCCTAACAGAAATCATGTGACAAGGAGACAGGACAACATAGTTCCAAGTCATTTACCATTACTGTTGAATGTGAACATTGGGAGTGAGTTTTGTGATCTGTGAGCTGAAATACTGAAGAAAAGGTGATGACTCCATAACAGTAAACTGTCTCCAGTAT